CAGCAGGGTTTGAATCAGAAATCGCCACGTAGCCCAAGCCACCACACCGAGGACGGCCAAGGTGAGCATGATTCTCAAACCGCGGTCGCTGAGCCGCAGGGCGTAGTCTGTGAAACCGGCCAGCAGCACAAGCCCCACCACGACGGCCAGCACGCGGGCAACGGCGTGCCCCAACAGCAGTAGCCGGGCGCGGCGACGCACCGAGGCGATTTGTTGTTCGAGTGGATGCGGCATGCCTCTACGTCCTTGGTATCCCAAGTAGCGACGGCCCGATGCGATGGTCAGCTCGGCGTGAACATCGTCTTAGAGAGCGGGGAACTCCCCGGATGCGTCGCAGGCGTAATTATAACATTCCCTTGCGTTTGCGTAGAATCCATTCTGAGGTAAGCAGCCCCAGGAAGAGTAGCAGCAGCGGCCAGCGGTTCCATAGTTCAATTCTGGGCAGCGTTTCTACCGGGATCTGCCGACCGCGAGGGAGATCCTTCAATAAACGCGACACATTGGCGATGTTGTAGAACTTACCACTCGTCGATTCGGCGGCTTTACGCAGCGCGGTGCTATCAACCTGAACTTCTGCCAACTCTCCGGGGGGAGCGGTCACCTGGAAGTCGGCCGCCGGGGCGCGACCCTCGATGGTGGGAGTGACGATCCAGGCGTGGTAGTTGCCGTCGGCCGGTTGGGAGAGCACGCCTTCGAACACGCCCCGCCCTGCTGAGGTGCGGCTGAGTTTGATGCGGCGGTTCTGCTCGCCTTCGCGTTCGACGATCACCGTGACACCGTCGTCTTCAACGGGGGCCCGGCGGTCGTCGACGAACCTTGCCCGCAGACGCACCGACTCTCCACGGCGATAGGTCCGCCGGTCGGTGGTGAGTTCGGCTGTGCGTTGGCCCAGGAGTTTCGAGCGGCTGAGGAATCGAATGGCCTGTACCCAATAACGGGCGAAGAACACATCGCCCACCTGACGACGCCACCGCCAGGTTTCGTCGGTGGCGTGGAACAGCACTTTGCCGGCTCCCACGTATTGCAGGCTGATGACCGGCAAGGGTGAACCGTCGCTGCCGATGCGGGTTGGATGTTCGGCCAAGACGCGGGCGCCGGGTTTGAGTTCGATGGAAGAGTCGAGCCAGTACAGACCGGGGAGGTTCTCCCAGATCTGCCGCGATTCTTCGTCTGAGTCGCCAAGTTGCATGTGAGGGCTGCCGAGCCCCAAGTCGGTGGGGCGCGGTTGGTACTCGTCGCCACCGGAATTGGACGAGCCTGGCCCAGCGGTTGGATAGACCGGCAGGATTTTCTCCAGGGGTGTACCGTTGTAGGCCTCTGGGGTGTGTCGCGGCCCGGCGATGAAGATCATGCCGCCACCCTTGCCGCTTTCGCTGACGAAGTCGACCAGGTGTTGCATGACGCGGTCGCCCAAGAACACTGGGTTCACATCGCCGAAGATGATCACATCGTACGTGAACAGCTCATCGCGCTGCACGGGCAGCACGCGGAGGGCCGACTGGTCGAGTTCGGCGTAGTCCGGGTCGGCTTCCTGCAGGAAGGTGCTTAGCTCGATCGTACTATCGCGGTCGAGCATGTTCTTCAGGTAGCGGAACTCGTAGTTGGGGTACGATTGCACCAGCAGGACGCGGATCTTCTCTTTGCGAACGCTGACCAACTGCGTCTGCGAGTTGTTCTTCTTGTTGATTTCCTTATCCAGCGGTTCGACTTCCACCGTGTAGCGATACTCGCCAACCTGCGTGGGTCGATAGGGCAAGCGAACACTCTGCGATTCACCATCGGGCCCCAGCTCGACTTCGAGGGCGGCCAACGGGGTAGAGTCCTCCTCTTCGTGCAACACGACTTTGGCTTTCGTGCCTTCCAAGCCGGTGGAGGTGAGCTTGAACTCGAAGTTGACGGTGTCGTCTACGAAGACGATTTCGTCGACGAGCAGGTCGTGCAGATGAATGTCGCGGGCCGGTTCGTCGTCGCCCACGGCAACGGTGAACAAGGGGACTCCCTTTCGCTGGGCATACTCGGCCGCCTCTGAGAGCGGTTCGCCGGCGGTGTTGATGCCGTCGCTGACGACCACGATCGCGGTGGGTGGAGTGCCGCGAAGGTCGTTGAGCACGGAGCGAATGCCCTGCCCCAGCAGCGTACTGTCGCCCTCGGGTTTCGTTTCCCGCACGGTCTCGATTAGCTCGTCGACTCCGCCCGACTGGGGACGGGCTGAGGTGGAAAGGAAATAAAGCCGGAGCTTGTAGTCCTCTTCAATCTTATCAAGCAGTGCCGCATCGTCTTCGAGCAACACACTCTTGGCCAGGTTGAACCGGCTGGGTTCTTCCAGCTCGAGACCTTCCAGGCGTTTATCGATGATGGCCCTTAGCTTCTCATCATCGTACTGGTCGACGATGCTCATACTGCGTGAGTCGTCGATGACGACAACCACGTAGGGTAAGCCTGTGCGTTCGAGCGAGAGGGCCAACTCGGCAATCATCAGCAAGACGATGGCGATGAGCGAGAGGCGAATCGTGCCCAGGGCGATCTTGTAGAACCGGCCGGCGGAGGAGTTCTCTTGGCGGTACATCCAGAAGACGAACGCCGCGGAGAAGATGATGAACAGCAGCGTGATCCAAGGTGCCCACGTCCAGATGTGCTCGAAGTGCCATACCGTGCCTTCGCCGGCATCGGCCGCTTCGATCCCCAGCAGGCGAACCATCCAATCGGGCAGCGAGTGTCTCATATGCTTCGTCGCCCCATGTACGTGGCCAGGGCGATTTCGGCAAAAAGCAGTGCGAGCACCGCGTACAACAAGGCACGATGGAACTGGCCCCGGCGTACGGCGTCGGCCATCGGTTGGCCTTCCGTGTCTTGCCAGGTGGTGGAGTGCAAGAACGGAACCCCCGGCCAGATGTCGGTCCGCAGTTCGGAGACGTCGAGCTTGGTGAGATCGCTTTCAACTGGATCGACATTCACCGCGAAGTTCAACGGCTCTTTCCCAAGGCTGCCTTGACTGACAGAGTAAACCCCTGAGAGCTGGGTGTCGGCGAACGTCCAGTTGCTGCCATCGGCCGAAGTTTTCACTCGCACGGTTGCGTCGTCTCCGTCGGGCAGGCGCACCTCCACAGCCCGATCAGGGTCGTTCGAGTGAACGGAAGCCCCAATGGCCGAGCCGGCAATGGTGTTGCGGTCGTTCAATTGTCCACGCACCGCGGCGGCCAGCAGTTCTTGAACCAGCGGTAAATAGCTGGGCCAGACAGGCATCGCCGTCCAGGAAACATCGGCCGAAGTGGCTACCAGAATCACGGTGCCCCTATCTCGCGGGGCCTGCACGATCATGGGGTCGCCGCCGGAAGTGGCCAGCGCGATGTTGGAGTCGGGGTCTTCCGAAACATCGAGCCGCACGTAGCGCTTGACCGGCGTGGTGAGCAGCCCGGCCTGCTGTTGGCCGCGAAAGGCCTGCACGATTGGGTGCTGGTAGTCCAACGGGTCGAGCGAGTATTGGTTTTCGGCCACCACTTCGATCAGTCGGGCCGGCAGAATCGGCGACTCGCCCTCGGCTTCTCCATGCAGGTGGCGGTTGTAGCTGTCGATCTGCACGCGATCGCCCAGGAAGCAAACCAGTCCGCCACCACCTTCGAGATAAGACTCGAGTGCGTGGGCTTCGCGACGGGTGAACTGCCCGACGTTGCAGAGAAAGATGCAGTCGAAGCTCGACAGGTCGGCTTCTAACAGGGAAGTCTCCGGCACGACTTGGGGGCGGACGACGTGCCCACCGAAGGTGGATTCTTTGGGAGCCAGGGCCACGGCCAGGTAGCCGGCGGCCCCGCCAAGCGCATCGCCTGAAGGACTCCCGTCGACGCACAGCACGTCGATCTGCTCTTTGGCTGCCAACGACATCCAGCGATGGTTGTCGATATCGAGGAGATCGCTGCTGAGGCGACACTCGACCACGTGGTCGCCGGGGGTCTCGAATCGATGGGCGAAGTTCAACACCACGTCTTCGCCCGCGGTAAGGTCGACATCTTCTTGCGCGACGGCTCGTCCGTCTACAACGAACTCGGTACGGCGGCGAATCTGATCCTGACGACCGAAGTTTCGCAGAATGACCTCGAACCGTACCGGCTCTTGCGTGGTGACGAAGGGTTCCATCAACCGTACGTCGGTCACGGCCAGGTTTTCGGCATCCGGCTGCCCTACGTCGAGGAGAACTAAAGCGGCCGATTCGGAAAGCCGTTTTGCCTGATTGCGAAATTCGTCGGCGGTGGTCTCTTCCTCGGCTTCGCCGACCCAGGTGGCGCGACCAAGGTCGGAGATGAAATAGACTTCGGTTTGCGTTAGTCGGGGGTTGTCTTTTTCAGCCCGTTCGACGATCTCTTGCACGCGCTGCAGCGTGGCGGGCAAGTCGCCTGATGTGTGCGGTAGTTGCAGGTTCTCGATCTCTTCGACAAAGTCGTTGGGCTCGAACGCCGGAGTGCCGACCACCACGCGCGGCGGCTTGCCTAGCAGCACCAAGCTGAAGGCATCGCCCTGAGGGCTTTCCTCGACGATTTGCGTGGCGAGTTGTTTTGCCCGTTGGAATCGGCTGCGGTCGGCCGGCTTGAAGCCCATCGAGAAGGTGCCGTCGACCACGATCACCTTATGGGTGCGTCCCACGTTGGGAGCGATCAGGCCTAGCTGCTCCATGTATGGTTGGGCCACAGCGAACACAATGAGCAGAATCAACAACGTGCGGACTGCCAGGAGCAGCCACTGCTCGAGACGCAACCGCCGGGCGTTCTTGCGGAGGGCGGCCAGCAGGAATTCGGCTGCGGCCCAGGGAACTTCGCGGTGCTGACGACGATTCCAGAGATGGATCAACAACGGGAGCGAAGCGGCGGCCAGCCAACCCAACATCGCCCAGTTTAGAAATCCAAATCCCAGCAGCACGGTGGTTCTCGAACAGAATTAGGTATGAGTGATTTAAGAAAAGTCGATTTGGCGAGGCTTGGACCGCCACTTCGCCTGCGGTCTGGTTGGCCTCACATGCGGGCCATGCGTGAGGAGAGGAAACCGGAAAGTGCAATGTCAAGTGTTTCGTCGGTACGGATCAATTGGTAGTCCACGTTGTGGGTGCGGCAGCCTTTGCGAACTTCGTGAATGTGCCGCTGCAGTTCCTCTAAGTATGCGCGGCGTATCGATTGTGGATCGGTGACCACATCCGGTAGTTGTTCCATGCCTTTGAACATCGTTGTGCGGCGGAAGGGAAAGTCGAGTTCTGCGGGGTCGAGTACCTGAAACACAATCACATCGTGTCGCCGGTGGCGAAAGTGCTTGAGGCCGGCCATCATCGAGGGGACCGAGTCGAACAGATCGCTAAGGATGAGGACGACACACCGCCGCTTCAGCCGCTCGGCCAATTCGTGGAAGATGGGGCCGGTGGCCGTCTTTCGCACCGCCTCACACTGACTCATTACGTGCAGTAACTGCTTGAGGTGCGATGGATTCCCCACAGCGGGCACCATATTGCGGATTGTGCGGTCGAAAGTGACCAATCCCACGCTATCTTGCTGCTGGAGAATGAGATACGACAGGGCCGCCGCGATGCACTGGGCGTATTCCAGCTTCGACATGGGCGAGTCGGGGCCCTGGTAACGCATGCTCTCGCTGGTGTCCAACACGGTGTAGGCCACCAGGTTGGTCTCTTCTTCGTACTGCTTGAGGTAATACTTGTCGGTCTTCCCGAAGACTTTCCAGTCGACGTGGCGCAGGTCGTCGCCAGGTACGTACTCGCGGTGTTCGGCGAACTCGATCGAGAAGCCGTGGTAGGGGCTTTTGTGCATGCCTGCCACGTAGCCCTCGACAATTGCCCGAGCACGTACGTCTAGACCTTGCAGCTTAGCTAGCGTCTGCGGATCTAAATACTTCTGGTAGTTTTCCACTGGAATCCGATTCAAACTGTTCGCGAGGAACAAACTCGATCAATCGCCGCACGATGTCGTCGGGCTTGAGGCCTTCGGCCTCGGCATTGAAGTTGGTCATGATGCGGTGCCGCAACACGGGAAGGGCCACCGCACAGATGTCGTCGATGTCGGCATAGTACCGCCCATGCAGCACCGCGCGGGCTTTGGCACCCAGCACCAGATACTGACTGGCGCGGGGCCCTGCTCCCCAACTGACATAGTCATTAATGAAGTCGGGGACGTCGGCCTTTTCGCGACGGGTGAGTCGTGTGAGTTGCAAGGCGTACCGCAACACGTGATCGGCCACAGGAACTCGACGCACGATTTGCTGCAGGTGCAGAATCTGCTCGGCATCGAGCGTGGGCGTGGGCGAAACGGTCACGTCGCTGGTGGTTCGCTTGATGATCTCCAGTTCGTCTTCCTCGTCGGGATAATCGACGAACACATTGAACATGAAGCGGTCGAGCTGGGCCTCGGGCAGTGGATAGGTCCCTTCTTGCTCGATGGGGTTTTGCGTGGCGAGCACAAAGAACGGTTCGGACATGCGATGCCTTTCGCCGCCGATGGTGACCTGATGTTCCTGCATCGCTTCGAGCAGCGCGGCCTGGGTCTTCGGCGGGGTTCGGTTGACTTCGTCGGCCAGAATCACATTCGCGAAGATAGGCCCCGGCAGGAAGCGAAACTCCCGCTCACCCGTGGTGCGGTTCTGCTCGATCACCTCGGTGCCGGTAATGTCCGAAGGCATGAGGTCGGGCGTGAACTGAATGCGATTGAAGTCCAGGGCCAGCGAATCGGCCAGTGTGTGGATCATGAGCGTCTTCGCCAGGCCCGGCACTCCGACCAGAAGGCAATGCCCACGGGCGAACAGCGCGATGAGCAGTTCTTCGACGACCGCATGCTGGCCGACGATCACCTTGCTCAGTTCAGTGGTGATGCGACCGTAGGCATCGTTAAGTTGCTTCACGGCTTGAACATCTTGGTTCTCTAACGTCATGCCTCGGTTCCCAGTGAGTGGAGGATTGCGATGCGAGGTGGTTTGTTTGATCGTGAGTGAATTGAGGTTTGCTTAACGAGGTTTGTTTTGGGGAGCGGCTTTGGCTTCAGCAGTGCGGCGCGGAGTGCCGGCAGAAAGTGAGACCAGCTTATCGGACCCGGCGATGAGCAACTTGTCGTCGATCACCAGAAGATTGCCTCCGTGAAGGTTTGAGCCATCGACTGCCCGACGATGCTCGGCCAGGGGGATCTCTCCGGTCCAGCGACTGTCGGCCTGATTGAACACGTAAATCGATTCCCGTGTGGGCCATAGTACGCTATTACCCGAGAGGATGCCGCGACCGAAACCACGAGGGGAATCGCCCTCGGGCCAACGGGCGACGAGCTTGCCTTCTTTTTCCAGGCTGAACCAGTAGAGGCGGTCGCCGCTGGCGATGAGGTTCCCGCCGCCAACGCCAAGCAGGTGAATCGCATCTTCGGCCAGGCCGTTTTCCCAGAGACGTTGCCCGGAGACGGCATCGAGCGCGAGGATCGATGCGCTATCCGAAGGGGCAACGAACACCTGGCCCGAGTGATACACACAGGGGGTGAGATCGCGATAGAAGTGGGCCGCCTGGACCGAAAGATCTTCGCCCGAGGCTCGCTTGTATTGGTAGACCCATTTCAAGTGGCCATCGCTGGTCCGCAGTGCCGCCACCGCGCCGAGATTGGTGTTGAAGTAAATCGTGTCGCGAAACACGGTGAGCAGTGTGTGAGTCGACTCCGAAAGTTGATTGTGACCCACGGTGTCGGAACCGCAGACAAATTGCCGCCACTTTTTCCGACCGGTGCGGGCATCGTAACAATCGACATGGGCCCTGGGGTGTTGTACATCGCTGTGTCGAACGGCCACGAACACATCGTTGCCCACGACGCAAGGGGCCCCTTCGAACGACCATTGGGGATCTTCAGGGATGATCTTCCAGACCACGCGGGCTTGCGCCTTCAGGTCGAGGCACAACAGATAACCTCGCCCACGGCGGCTGGCCAGTTCACCCGCGCCGGAAGTGATCATCGAACCCATGCGGACGTAGAGCTTGTCATCGGCCACGGTCATCGTGTAACGCGGGGCGCCGAGTGAGTTGCGGTAACTCACCCGTGAGGCGGCGGCTTCTTCGTCGCGGAAGATCACCGGATCGTCCAAGCCCCACGGCGGGTTGCCGGTTTTCAGATCGAGTGCGAGAACCTGCATTTCGTTGTTCAACAGCACCAGATCGTTGTGAACCACCGGGTGATAGCTCAACAGCGACTCGTTATCTTCGGCCACACGATTGGGGCGAAAGCCGTAATTGCGGGCGATGCTCGCCTCGAGCGCAGGAACCTCGGGCAATGCATGTTCCCACTGCCAGACAATGCCAGCGGAAAGGGGCTGAGCAATGCGGTCGCGGCGAAAATTGCCTGCGAAGGTGTCCCATCCACGGGCGGCGACGGGGGCCGACCAGTCGGGGCTGGCTTCCAGGAGGCCGGCCAGGGTTTCACCGAGATTCACTTCGCGACCGGCCATGGTTCCCACGGCGTCGGGATGCCCGGCGGCACTGGGGGGCTCGCCGGGTTTCGGTTCGCGGCGAAACTGTTCCAGTTCACGCTCGGCCCGGGCGGTCGAGCCTTCGAAGATCGAACACAGGATGAGCCGGGCGCCGATTTCTGCCAGGTCGAGGTCGGTATCTGGGTAAGCCTTGCGAGGCGGAGCGGTTCCCTGCAACTCCGGCGGAGTGGGCACTAACTGGCTGAGGTAAGCCCGGGCCAGACCGAAGTCGCCTTCCTCGATCAGCAGTTCACCGAGGGCGTAGAGAGCATCGTCACCCCAACTGCTGCAGTAATGCTGGTCGATGAGGCTCAGCAATGCCTGTCGGTCCCGCTGCCCGATGCCCTGTTCGTACAGCTGCCGGGCTTGCGGGTCGACTTGTTGGCGGTAGATGGTGAGGGCTTCCTCGGGGAGGCCGGCCAATTGCTGGTGGCAGTACTCAGGAATGTTGCCCCAATGGTGGTCCGAGAGTTGAATGAGCTGGCCGTTCTGGCCTTCCATGACCTGACGAAGGGTCTCAATTACTTCATTCCACTGCCCGGCATCGCGAAAGGCCTGTACGCGCTCAAGGTGTGCCCGAACGGTGGAATCGGCCTCGGGAAGGTAGATGGCGTCGGAGAGGGAAGCCCCCGGGGTGAGAAAGACCTGGGCCCCGGCGTGAGCGGTGGTGATCGCAATGAGGACCAACGATGCCAGCACCGCCGTCGGCCAAGTTCGCCGGCGAGCCACGATCATGTCCACAACCTTTGTCCCAGAGAAAAGCGGCTGTTGCTTCGCGGGTGCTAAATCAGTGTAAGTATAGATGGGCCCTGCAATTCGGGAAAGAAGGGCTCGGATTCCGGGCGTTTCGGGGTGCTTGCTTCTTACCGGACACGCTGGAGCACCGAGACGACCCCAGAGCGGATCGCTCAATGGGCCACCTGATTGAAGTGGTACAGCATGATGTAGATAAACACCCCGGTTACCGAGACATACAGCCAGATGGGAAACGTCCAACGGGCCCAGCGGCGATGCTGCAGGCGACGATCGCGAAGCCCGAGATAGATGGTCCGCAGAGCGAGAATCGGTACGGCGGCTGCTAGCACTACGTGCGTGATCAGCACGATCAGGTACATCTCTCGAATGGGAGATGGCCCTTGAAACTTCACGCCCGCCTCTCCCGTCTCGGCCCTTAGCGAGGCGTGATAGAACAGGTAACAGACCAGGAAGGCCACCGACACGGCGAATGCGGTGAGCATTGTGTTGCGATGGGCCGTGATATTGCCCCGCTTGATGTGCACAAACCCCACGATGAGCAACACCGTGGCCAGGGCGTTGAGCACGGCATTCACCGTGGGCAACGTGCGCCAGGAGAATTCAACCACCCAGATTTTGGCAAGCGGCAAATCGGCGAACAGAGATTCCATTATCGACGAACTCACGATTGGGCCTCGTCGCGGGGTTCGGCCAAAAGCTCGGCGGCCTTCTGTTCGAGTTTGCGGATGCTGTCGACCTCGAGCCCATTGTAGAAATCGACGATTTCACCCTGGCGATCGACCAGGATGAATTTCTCGGTATGCAGACGATCTTGCAACGGCACGCGGAACACCTCGTGGGCCACGCGTTCGATCTCTTCCCGTTCGCCTGTGAGGAATGTCCACTGATCGGGCTTGGCGTTGTACTTCTTGGCGTATTGCTGAAGTACCTCCGGCGTATCGTTAGTGGGGTCGACCGATACGCTTACCAGCCGGAGGCCCTTGTCGCCGAGTTGGCTTTGCAATCGCTCGAATGCTTGCGAGAGCTTCGGGCATTGCACCGGACAGGTGGTGAAGAAGAAATCGACGACGTAGACCTCGCCATTGAGGGTCGATTCATCGAAGGGCTGGCCTTCGATATCGAGCAGGTCGTAAGGACCGACTTCGAGCCCGGCTGATGTGAGCGGCGGAACGACCGGAAGCCCGGAATCGCTCTCGTCATAATTGTCTATGCTGGCGGTAGAAGAATTCCCACCGGATTGATTGGGTGCCCCGCCCTGCTCGGCAGATCCACAGCCTATGAATTGCCCGACGAGAACGGCCAGCATCACGAGGCCCCATGTAGTGTTTCTTGAAGTCATTACAGTAAATCTCCCGCCACACGTCTGCCGGCCGAGAACCAGGCCGCCACGAAGGCCACCAGGGCGAACGCGACGGTAACCGTCACACACAACGCCAGCGAAGGCGTGTCGGGCGGCAGCGATTGCGGCGCGTGGAAGTATAAAAGTTGCCTTAAGCCCGCCACCCCGTAGGAAAGCGGGTTGAATCGAACGAGCCAGCCCAGCACGCCTTCGGTGGCTGGAAAGAATGCCCCGGAGAGCAACCACATCGGCAGCAAGAACATACTCATCACCGCGTGGAAGCCCTGGGTGGAATCGAGTTGCCACGCGATGACAAACCCAAGCGCCGACAAGGCCAGCGAAAGCACGAACAGAAACGCAACAATCGCCAGCAACACCAAGGGGCTGAACTGCAAGCCAATCGTCAGCCCCAACAGCAGAAACAACAGGCCCTGAGCGACGGCAATTGTGGAGGCCCCCAACAGTTTGCCCATCACCATCGACCAACGGGTGATGGGGGCCACAAGGACCGATTGCAGGAACCCTTCGCGGCGGTCTTCGATGATCGAAATCGTGGAGAAGATGGCCGTGAACAACAGGATGAGCACCAGCGTGCCGGGAAAGAAATACTCTCGATAGCTGATGCTGGAGTTTTCCATGCCCGGCAGTTGAAACGAGGGCCCCAACCCTGCCCCGAACAGAATCCAAAACAGCGTAGGCTGACCGATCGCTCCGACGACTCGATTCCGCTGGCGAAAAAAACGCACGAGTTCGCGACGACACAACGTGCCGACCACCAGCCACGAAGGGCTATCGGTAGCCGCCACAGTGCTGACGGGCGCCGTGGTAGCCATCTCGCTGTGAAGGGTGTTACTCGACATGCTCGATCGTTTCTTCGGTGCGGAAACGGTGCCCAGTGCGGGCGATGAATACATCTTCTAGTGTGGGACGCCCCAGCGTAAGCGATTGCAGCCGGGAACCACAGGCCTCGGCCACCTGCGATAGGCGGCTGGCCCCGTCGGCCAGATGAAGTCGCACTTCGCCGTCGATCACCTGGGCGTCGCAGGCAAACTCTTGCGAGAGCTGTACGGCTAACTCCTGCGGTTGATCGGCTTCGAGGCTGATCGTGTCGCCGCCGACTTCGGAGCGTAACTGAGATGGTTTGCCCAGGGCGACCATCTGACCACGGTCGAGGATTGCCAAGTGGTCGGCCTTGTCAGCTTCTTCCAGGAGATGGGTGGTTAGGACAATCGTCACGCCATCGTTGTCGCGAAGTTGGCGCAGGTAGTCCCACATTTGCAGTCGGGCCGCCGGGTCGAGCCCCGTGCTGGGCTCATCCAACAGTAACACTTGTGGGGAATGCAGTAGGCCTTTGGCCAACTCAACTCGGCGGCGCAGCCCACCGGAGAGTGTTTCGACCCGATCGGAAGCACGATCGTCGACCCCAAGTCGAGCCAACGCCGCCTGACAGCGATCGCGAAGCTTGCTACCGGAAAGACCATAGAGGTGGCCCTGGTGCATGAGGTTTTCGGCCACGGTGAGTTTGCGGTCGAGGCTGGCCGCCTGAAACACCACGCCGATGCAACGCCGCACGGCCTCGGGTGCTGTGGCCAAGTTGTGGCCCTGGATGCGGATGCTGCCCTGCTGGATTGGAATCAAGGTGGACAGCAGGCGGAACAGCGTGGTCTTTCCACTGCCGTTGGGGCCTAAGAGCGCGAAGATTTCAGCCCTGGGAATAGAAAGGCTCAGCCCGTCGAGCGCCCGATGTTCGCCGTAGGTATGGACAACCTGCTCGATCTCGACGGCGGCGTTCATGGGCATGGGATGAGTTGTAGTGAATTCTAAAGATGCGCTGGAAGCCCCCAACCGGGACGAGTCCTGATCGGACCGACACTCGTTCTACACAGCCGACGGGACGCCAGTTCCCTCATTCGCCTAAATGTTGAACGCCGCAATCGGCTAGATCAACGTCGTGGCGAGCAACAGCGTCAGCAGCACCGGCAGGTGGACAATCGAAACCCGCAGCAATCGTCGGGCGGAACCTTCGTGCTGACGCCGCATGAACGCTACAGAGCTGGCCAGGTACACTCCACCCAACAGCACGGCTCCCACGGCGTAAACGGCCGAAAGCGACAAGCCGGCCTGAAAGTTCACCAGGCAAGGCAACAGGCTAATCGGCAATAACGTCAGGGCCGACATCACGGCTTGCGTTCCCGCGCGACGCCCGGAGGGATCGACCACGGTGAGCATCTGCAGCCCGGCGGCTTCGTACTGTCGACGATAGATCCAGGCGATGGCCATGAAGTGCGGGAACTGCCACAAGTAAACGATGGTAAACAGCGTCCAGGCAGTCAACGTGAGAGGTTGCCCGACGGCGGCCCAACCCATCAGCACGGGAATGGCTCCGGCGACTGCGCCAACTACGGTGTTGAAGCTGGTTCGCGACTTGAGCGGAGTGTAGATGACGACGTACATCACCCACGTGGCAAGCCCCAGCAGCGCGGTGGTCCAGTTCACCGAAAAGGCCAACTGAGCGATGCCGGCGATGAGAGTCACGGTGCCGAAGATGAACACCTCGGCCGCGGACAAACGCCCCATGGCGATCGGCCGGTTTGCAGTGCGGTTCATCAGTTGATCGGTACCGCGTTCGATCCACTGGTTCCAGGTGCTCGCGCTGGCCGCAACCAGGGCGGTACCCAACAGCGTGTGCAGCAGCAGAACCAGTCCAATGTCTCCACCGGAGGCCGCCAGTGCACCGATGCCCACGGTGATGAGCACGAGGACTGAGATTCGCGGTTTAGTTAGTTCGAGATAATCGGCCAGCCGTCCCGCGAGGGTGCTCCGCCGTTGCTCGCACACCAAGGTCGATGTGCTCATGAAACAGTCTCCAAGGTCATCGGCTTCGCCTGCATTTGCGGCTTGGCCGTGACAGTACTGGGTTGGGCCAGATAACGAAACGAGGCCAGCACCGTCACCAGTGCCGTGGCAAGAATCAGCGATCCCATCGCTACATGGGCCGTTGTGGTCAGCGACTGAACCTGCGAGTTCATCTGAATCGTATAGCTGCTCGCGAAACTCCAGCGATCGAACCACACCGGCCACCCGTAGTTGGTTATCCAAGTTCCACAACCCAGGGCAATTTGCCCAGTTAGAAGCATAGCCAATAGTGCGGCAGGCTCATATACCTGACGGTGCCCACGACGCGAACGCCACCACAGTGCATAACCGTGCACCAACAGCGCTAGGGCCACGAAGATGTGCATCACCAGCGTGATTCGGAAAGCATTTTGATCGAAACCGATGGGCAGATGCCGCAGATGAGCACCGAGCACCAGTTGCAGATAGGCCAGAATCAGCGTGCTTAGGGCCAGCACGCGAACCTTCGAAGTGGTCGGGCTTTGTTGGACAACTTCCGGCTGTCGCCATCGTTTGGAAGTGAAGGTGGCCATCGCCACGCAGAGGGCGAAAAACGCTGGGCCGACGCAACCGTGGATCTTTGCCAACTCGCGGGCGTCCTGAATCACTCGCATCCCGCCGAGCATCCCCTGCCCGATGACGGCCAGCAACGTGACGACGCCGAGCCACTTCAGCCATCGCCGATCTTCACACCACCACAGCGAGATAAGCAGCGCGATGGTCACCATGCCCGAGGTTGCCCCCAACAGGCGGTGCCCATGTTCCACAAACAAATCCCAGGGACCGAAGAACCACTGCTGCCACGGATACAAAAACAGGTTGTAGCCGTAAGTCGATGGCCAATCGGGCACGGCCATTCCCGCGGTGTGCGTGGTAACCAGCCCACCGACCCAAATCAACGGAAACGTCACGCAGACCAACAGCACGGCAAAACGGTGTGGCCACCGGCTGGGGTTTGCTTCGAGCGTTGGTTGAGTGACTGGTGTGGACACGGGCACTTAGCCTAAGGTGTGATTGATGAACCGCGGTGCCACCGCCTGACGATGGTATTCGTTCCGCGAGGTTCGTTGCGTTAACTAGGTGACTCTGTCTTGTCCGCGAAGGTTCAGCTTTCGTCCGATGCTGGCGTCGGTTCTGGCGGAGCCTCAGCAGCTGGGGCGTCCTGCTTCGTATCGCCTTCGGTCGGCAGTGCGAGTACGTAATCGACCAGATTCCAGATTTGGGTCGAATTCAGAGAGCGGCCCGAGGCTGGCATGGGGGTGCCTTCGATACCGGTGTAGATGCGACGATAGATATCAACCGGATCGCTGCCGCCACGAAATACACCGGCCCGTAGGTTTCGCGGCCGCAGTTCTTGCAATGGCAAAGCCCAAAGCTTGGCTCGCTCTTCGGGGTCTGCGTATTGTTTCTGATCATTCCAGACATCGAAGCTCTTCTCTTTGCCGTCGCCTGCCCCATCGGGTCCATGGCATTTGGTGCAACCCAGTGTCTCCGACTTGAACAGTTCGCGTCCGGCCTCGATCGAGGCCTCGCGATCGGTCGGACGCGGATCTTCGGGTTCGACAATCAGAGAATCATCGGCCGAGGCGAGCCACAGATCGGCGATTGGGTACACGGCTTCGTCGAGCAAGAAGTCATGGTCGAGTTCTTCGTCTTCATCGATAATCAGACTCTGAACGATCGTTTCGACTTCCCCGCGAGTGGCCAGGTACTTCACGTACTCGACCAATGCATCGACCTCCTCGGGAGGAAGGGTTCCGAACGACGGCATGCCTGTGCCAGGAACTCCCGCCAGAATGACCTTGCGAATGTCATCGTCGGTGGGCTTTGCGCCGGGCGGAGTTGAGTTGAACTTGAAGGTGCCCTTGCGGAAGTCGCGAGGGTAGGGATTCAGCAACAGTGCCGAGGGGCCAGCACCGTCGCCGGAGATACCGTGGCAGTGAGCACAATGTTTGCGATAAAGCCCTTGGGGTGTGCCGTCGATGTCGCTGGAAACCGGACCGGCCGCCATTTTGATTTTGTTGAGATCGAGTTCGGTCTCTTCGAACACGAAGGGATCATCAGGCGAACCGAATGATGCCACGGTGGCATTGACCACTTGTTGCAACTTTTCGGGCGAGTACTTCAGCGTGCCGTCGGAGTACTTCTCGTCAACGTCGGCTCCTTCGAAGTTCAGCGCGAACTCGGGGGGCTCATAGCGATTACAACCAATTGCTCCCAGAACGCAAAGCAAGATTGCGGCGGGAAGAAAGTTCAGTCGGCTTGCGCTGGGATAGAACAAAGCAGCACCTTCAAGCACGGGTCATGCTCGTCTTACACCGTGAGACCAATATGCTCACGGTTCCCACACAGACAGAGAGCAGAGTTGAAGACTTGGACCGTCGGCTTTACGAGATGGTGGGGGCGAAAGGCTTGGCTCCGCCCAATCCACCGCTCCAGGCCGACCCTCGCTACCACTATGGTAGAGTCTCTAGTTTCGGTGGGAACTGCACCCACCGTCAACGCGTCAAAATGTCGCACGCAACGTGCGAACTGACGCGCAGATCCCGGAGTACCATCCACTTACGGCATTCCGCCATCGTAAAATCGAAGTCCAAACGCTTGCCCCGGAAGGCAACCGCCGAAGGCCGGCAGAGGGTCTACTCTGCCGGCTCTTCGCTGGTCGATTCGGCGGATTGCGGCGCGGGCGTGGTTGCCTGATCACCGCGAAGTTCCTGAACTTTGCCTGGTTCCGGAGGCGGCACCAAACTTGGCTCTTCCGAGCATCCAGTCATGGAGCTGACAATGAACAACATCGCAACTCCCCCTAATAACCGCCAAGAGGCGAACTTGCCCATTCGTCCAAATCCTTCTGAGAATGCCAAGACTGGATTATCAGGAACTTTTTACAGTTTGAGATTGATACGCCACTACTTGTTAAAGGTGGCGGCGGGCAGCG